CAGATCTACGGCCAAATAAGATCTTTAACCATAACTAGTTGTCAACAATGGCCAAGTTATGGCTGTCGTTGACAACCAAATGTGGCCCGGCACACGACCGGCAAGATCCAATCGGTCGTGCGCTGATACAGTGACTTTGGTCACCCTTCGATGGTGGTGGCCGACTGTTGGTATTTAATGGGTTGGTGAGAGTATTTTTTTTAATTTTCAATATTTTATTAAAGAGATGTTTAGTAAATTAACAAACCTATGGGGTGTTTTTGTTAATTTTTAAATTTTACCTCGTAATAACCGCTAAATTTTACTTTTTCCAAAATATTATTATAAAAAGTATCAAAATAATGAACCAAGTGCACCAAAATTTAAAATAATGCTATGCCGTTTTCATTTTCCGTAATTTTCCAATCATTTTCTATGCTTAAAAAGAAAACAGAAAAAAAAAAAAAAAAAAAAATTGTTGCGTGAAGTTGAAGATTGAGAAACAATGACTTCCAAGTCAGCGGACTTTTATTAACCGAGCCGATGAATATACAAAACCGATCCGACAAGCTTTGAGTCAGTTCATTGTATCAAACTTTCATTAACCGAACCGATGAAAAAGTGCACAATTTTTAATCTTTTTCTCTTAATCCAAACTGCTGAACTGAACCGATGAATACATGTACAAAATCCGATCCGATAGCCTTAAACTTTATATATCCAGATGAAACGTGATTGCTTACTTGTGTTATTACAATCTCAAATGAACATCTTCATGGATTTGGTACTTAGAATCAAGCTGGTTTTAGCTTCACTTAAGATCTCTATTCTTCAACTTTTCTCAACCTCCAACCAGCAACTTCCAACCCACCACCAGCAAGAGCCACCGTCCAGCCCAGATGCTCAGCCCAAGCCACCTCTTCCTCACAACAATCTTCAGTGGCAAAACATAATAATGGCATTTTGTTTCACATCAGCTCTTGAAATTTCTCTCCAATATGTGCAAAACCAATTCCATCTCCCTTCATCTTTCCATCTTCTTTCTCTTCTTATAATGCTCACATTCGCCTTGCTCTTTGTAGCAAAAATTATTAGCTTAAAATTCCCAGTTGCATCTGAAGTTCTTGAGAAATTGGTTGTGCTCACGGCTGTCACGACTGTCTTCTACACCATAGCAATTCCCCTTCCACACAGCCTCAAGTGTGCTACTTGGGCTGTCTATGTTGCCAGCATGCTTACAGTTGTGATCTTGAATAGCTTCTAAGCCTACTTTTTGTATGTTGTATTTTATACAATTGTTCGGATATTGTAATATAAATTTTTTTACTTGATTTAATGGTACTATTAATTAACATTTTTAGATTAATTTTAATAAAATGGTGTTAAACACGTAGATTTAGAATTCATATTTTCACTATGTCACTTATGTATTTGTAATTTAATGTGAAACATAATAATTAATTTAATAGTTAAGGGCACTGGGCTTTATGAAAAAGTGGCAAAACTTAAGCGGTTGGTCTAATGGTTAAGAATGTTTGTTCAATTCATTTATTTTCTAGTTGTAAATCACCTTAGAGTTATTTACTACATTTGTGGCTTACCTTGAAATATTAGACTTGTAGGGTGTTTAATAGGTCCAGAGGATTAGCTGAGGTGCTTGTAAGCTAGTTTGGACATCTCGATTATATAAAAAAAGAAAAAGAAAAAAGTAGCATTTAGGAATTATAGAGGTCGTCATGAAAGTTGGTTCTAAAAGCCTGGCGAATTATATCGATATAATTGAATATCACATCATTAAAATAAGGATTGATAATTAGACTTATAAGCACTAGAACACACTTTTGTTATAAGTTGATTATTTTGGGTGAGATCAATATTCAATCCAATTTATACCAAACAGAGTGGCCAAGGTAAAGATGGGTTTAGAATTTTGGTGAAGTTGCAGACACTTTGTGTATGTTGGTGAAGATGGAAAATGGGTTCTGAAATTTATTTTAGTGGAAAAATCATGTAAAAGATCATCTAAAAAATCTTTCATAACATAAGAGGGACAAGAGTTTGTGAAGTAAAAATATATAAAAAAATATATAGTGATTTTATAATAAAATAAAACTAAAATTTTTTTTCTATATTAAAATTGCGTTAATAAAATTTGCTGAAGTTAACAAAATTCATTAACAATATTAATATTTTAACAAAGTTGTCTACAATAATATTGAGTTTTCCTAAAATCAGAAATTTTTATATGGTATTTAGTAATAAAAACATTATACAAATTTTGTTACGTAAAGAGAAAAATTAGAATTTACTACAAACATTAAAAAATAAATTGTACAAACATTATAAAAATAATTTGTAAAATCTATTGTATGTATTTGACCTGATCAATTTACTTACTAATCACCGTTGGATAGTCTAGTGGTCATAGTTATTGAATAATTATTAAGAGTTTTTGAGTTTGATACACTGAGTTGCTAATAGAGGTGGTTACTAAAGGTATTTATTCAATTGTAAATTTAAAGCTCTAAAGATTTATGATGTGAAATCAAAAAATTAGTTGAGATATGTTAAACTAGTCCAAAACCCCATCCCACTAGAAAAATTTACTTGCTGAAAGAAACGAGGCATTTAAATATCGGGTATGTCCGATTATCGTGAGAAACCGAAACATGGGAATCCCTAGGCAAAGTTTTGTTGTTGTTTTTGATAGTGTTTGGTGTAAAGTGGGACTGGGATGAAGAACCTTCCTCTTCGCTTTCTCAAGTTTAGACGTGTAATGAGGTCCTTCTGCGGCGCCCAAATGTGGGTTCAAATGGAGAATTTACAAAAATAATCTATATTTTATTGGTTAAATGGAATTATAAGCCATGGTGGATTCCAAAAGGCACCTCCATAATCGTTGTAAAACAAGGATTGTCCTTCCTCATCTTCAAAATTTTATTTTATAAATAATATTAAAATGTCCATGTTATGTGTAATATTTTCCGAGTTATTAAAAAACTCATAATTTATCACTTCTCTTCCCTTTTTAAAACAAATTTTAAATAGTAATTTCATTTAGATTCAATCCATTTGCCCTACGATATCATGCCACTATAATTAGAAGTATATATGTCTTGAAGATGATCATTTGATAGGCAAAAATCAGAATTAATGTTATAATTTAAATATATAAATTAATTATTTCTTTAAGTATAATTTTAAGGAATGATAATGACAATTGCAAGTATATCTTTCGTGTCACAATTACACTGGTGGGTGCTAGGGACATGGTATCCGATCCGATTTCAATTGCAAGGTATAAATGGAAATGTAGTCAATTTTTTTTTTTTTTTTTTTTTCGGTTGATTATCTGGCGAATAAGTTTCTTTTCAGCTTTTCCTTTACCTTTTTTTACTATTTTAGACGCGTAATGAGTCAGCTTTTGTGGTGGTGGCTTCAGTTTATTTTTTATTTTTTTAAATTAAACAAATAAAGGGAACATGAACAACCATTCATTTCCATCAAAATCTGTAATTATGTTTTGTATCTCTGAAAATCAAATCTTAAAGTACGTCAAGTCTCATCGGTTTGGATAAACAGTTCATGACTTTGTCTTCGTGTTTGATACTATGGAATAATTCCTTACAAACAACAAATTTAGTATGAATTTCGAGAAGAAAATATAATTTTTGTTTTTTAAGCGACAAAAATCTGTAAATTATCTAAAAACTATATTAAGTTCTGGTGTTTGGAAATTTAAATCTATAATTATCTTGGACAACTTAATTAAACTTTTTTTATAATTTGGATGAATTTCAGGAAAATTATGCGACTACATATTTTAATATAGGCAATTCTGTTTCTACCTTAGCATTTGGCCAAAATCCAAAGGCATAAAAGAAAGAAAAAATATTTATTTAAGATTTTTCATGAAGAGTGTTTCCAAAGATAATGCTGGATAATTTACAGTCAAGGTCGGTGAAGAACAATCTGCAAGAAGTTTGGTATCATAAGAACGAAAAAGACTCAAGCAAATTCGGATACGATGATTATTGAAACCAACATTTTCTTTTTAAATAAATGTCGTAAATTAAAAGACCATCTTATTCTTCCCATGATGTGGTCCAAATTTCTTATAAGATGATGATCCCAAAAAATCAATAATAGTAAAAGTATGCGATCATTTGTGCTATCTATTTATATAAGATTGATAGAACCTGTTGTACTTCAAATATATTGAAACATAATCAATCTTGTAGTTTCACATGATTTTTAATAAACAACAAGTGTATCAAAATTTTATGGCATCAACAATTGTATCATATTATAATTAAACTTTAGAAATTTTATCATTTCTTATAAAATTGATTCTAAATTTGTATTAGTTAGCATATTTTCTATATTTTTAATTTCAATTTTTATTTCAGAAACCGGTAATAAACAACTTTTTAATTTTAAAAGACACAAAATCCAATTTCTTATTTTTAAATTCATGCTTTGAAAACAAAAACTTAACTAAACGCTGCCTAATAAATTTTCTATTTGAACCCACGCGTAGACAGGACAGCCACAAAAGCTAGAGGAAGGTAACAAGAAACTTCATATCACCTAAATCCTTCCATAATTTCATTTTAAAATAAAAATAAAAATAAAAGATTTTTTTTTTTTTTACCACTACTGTTGTCTGCTCGCAGTTGGAATGTTGGACTGACATACCTCGGTTCCACGGATAATCGGATATTACCCGATATCTAAATGCCAAAGTTTCTTTGATCGAAGTAAATGGAGTGGAGGGGATCAATATTAATAACAATTATCAATAATTAAAAATAAAAGTCAATATTCCTTCTCTTTTGAGGACCCAGTTGGAAAAAAACTTATTGGATGGCCACAGCCACAGCCAAAGTCAAATATTCATCACCGACCTCAATGGAGTGAAGTCCCATTTTCACACTGTCTTCGGATAATCGGATTGGTATTGAGGATTAATATTTAACCCCACTACTCTTTGTAAATTTCTATTTCTGACGCAAAGTACTGTGAGTGTGATTATTTTATAAATTGCTTCTTTGTCCATGACGTCGTGCACTGAATCTGAAACTTTTCATATTCGTTTCCAAGAGATGTTGGTCTTGGTGCTGTAAAATTTCTGCACATCATTGGATCACTGTGTGCCGTAAGTTTCTTTTCTTTTTACGATCACCCCATTTAGCAAAAATGTTATTTCTTAATCTTCTTCCTATGTATCTGCCAACATATTAATGGTCGCCGAGAGAAAGCTTTAATTTCTTTTTTCTTTATGTTATGTTAATCATCAGCTGTGTTAATTTTCAGGTTGCGAAAGTTGCAGGTAGCGGTCAAAGACTCAAAGCTAGAACCATGTTCATTGATATGGATTTTGAAAGCTTTTTGCAAGAGCTGGGTGATGATTACATACAGGAGATGGAATCTTCTTCTTGTGCGACTAATTTTGATGTTGATCTTCCATCACAATGTTATGATAAGCAGGTAAACCTTTCTCTTAATTATCTTCTCTTTGTGTTCACATGCACCTCAAAATCATGTTCAAGCCACTACTCTTAACACATTCATCTTCCTAGCTCACTTGAGCTAACTTGTTTGTAATATAATATTGTTTTGTTTTGGAATGAACAAAAGTTGTTGGGTTTCATTCTCCATGCATGCTCCATGTGAGATTATGTCTTTTGTGTATTTTTAATTTATATATCGTTTCATTTTAGGAAAATCATGTATATTGCTTGTTTGGCTGCTAAGAAAACCTGAAAAAGACAGAAAAATACAACAGTTAGGAGGGTTCAAACTGTTTAGTGAAGTGTACATAACCTGAAGAGCTTGAACTGCAAAAAAAAAAAAAAAATAAAAAAAAATAATGGCCTAACAGATCAGAGATTCTTGTCAACACCAAAACAACAATACAAACAAAAGATTCAAATTTTTTCAAAGCCCATTTTCCTGCATTTTCTCGACACCCAAACCGAATCATGAAGGATCAAACTTTAAACCAAAGCAATAAATCCCACACCAAAAATCAAACTAAAAACAAAAATAACTTGATCTCAACGATTAAGAAACGAGTACCATCATTAGCATCAGTAGTGCAATGAACGAGAGTCAGAGCCGATAAAATGAACACAAACTGAGATACAACGAAAGAAACAGAAAAAAAAGGTTTTGTTTGGGCAGCCATTGTTTCGTGGGTGGCCGTTTCGTTCTCTTTCCCGGTCGTTGTGGTAAAGGTAAGGATCAGAGGTTCAGTTCAGGTGATGTCGAGTGCATGGTACAGCAACATGGAGATGCAGCCGAGAAAGAAGAAAAAAAGGAGAAGGTGAAAGTGAGGTTGGGACAGTTGTTGTGAATGTTGAGAGAGGCAACGCCATTAAAGAAAGAGAGAGAGATTCGAAGCTTGAGAGTAGTAGGCGGCGGTGACTGCTGACTAGTTGTGAAGACTGAACAGCGGCGGAATTTGTGATTGTGAAGATTGACGAAGCTGAAGCCTAAAGATCGGTGAAGAATGAACGGAAGTGGTGGAGTTACGATAGGAACTTAAGGTTTAGTCTTTAGATAAATTAGAAGTTTAGAACCACAGATTTTAGATTTAGGAACTTTAACAAACCGGTTATTCAATTGGCATGAATCGGTAATCAAACCGGTAAACCGGTTTAGCCAAATTTGTGAACCGGTCATTTGAGCGTAATCTAACAGAACTTAACAACTTTTCATAGGATCTGTTAAGTTCAGGGGAAATTTTGCCTGTATTTGAAATGGTAGGAGTAGGAAAAAAATAAACCAAAACTCCCAGGGTGTTATAATCTTTCTCTCTGTTGGTTTACCATAATTGGCCCGAGATTTTTTATCACGGGCGGACCATCTCGACTTTGGGTCCAGATTTTAATTTAAATTAATTATTATAAAAATATGATATGGTTAGACTGTACCAACTCAAAATTTAATAATTCTTAAAGTATTAAATAATATTGAAAGTTACATATAAGTGTGGGTCAAAATATTGTGACTTTAATTTTTTGATACTTTTTATGAATGTTCAAGTTTATCCATTCAATAGTGTTGACTGTTTAGAATGCTAAACTGTTATTAAGTGTAACTATCTTTATTTTATTTTTTTTCCTTATCTCCATTGGATCAACTATTTAATTATTATACATATTTTATAAACATTATGTGAAAAATCCAAGTCTAGGCTATGATATTGCAAGGCTTGAGTGCACCCAAGTGAATTCCAGGTCAGTCGTCGTGACGTGGCCAAGCCTATGAGATAATTTTGTGGCTCAAGATGCCTTCATCACATAATTTTGGTGTGTTAGTTTTGATACAAGGATACGAAGAAATAGATAAAATTTTGCCAAAATAAGAGAGAATTTTCCCAAAAAAAAAAAAATGTATTATTGTAAAAATAAGATAAAAGAGTGAAGAAGTAATTGCATTAATTTTAGACAACTTAACTGGACGGCAAAATAGGGACATGAATTATATAATATAATATATATAAAATTTTAATGTTAAATACCGTCTATAATTTTTATTTATAATTGTATATTTTTGGAGTGAATGGGGCAGGCAGGTCAAGAGCAAAGTTAATAATCTTATGGCCATTCCAAAATAATTTGAATCAAGATACTCAAACCTAAATCCAGAGGTGGGAAAAAAGCTTGGACCTAAAGGGTTTGGGCCCAAAACACGTTCCCAGGACCAGTCATCGGGAGAACCAGTTCTAGGATTGGACCAGCCCTAAGGGAGAAGGGACCGAGCCCATGTTGGTCCCTTCTCTAGGGCCCAGGTCTGGGATCATTAATTTTTAAAATCCCACCCAATGACATAACCCCCTGACAAATATTCAAAATCCCTCTACAAAATACATAATAAATTAGGGGTTAAAATATAATTTAAAATAAAATTAAAATAAATTTTTTCAGGCCCATACCATCAGTCCGAGCCCTAAGAAAACTCATGGGCCCAGGACCGGCTCTTGAGGATCTTGGCCTAGTCCCTCAAAGATTGATCCCAATTTGGGATCGGACCTTGAGGGCCCAAACCCGGGACCACCTAGGCCCGAGCCTTGCCCACCTCTAGCTAAATCTACTCCAACCCAAAGTTTTTAGTACACAAATCAAATCCATTCGGGTAGAGCCCTGAACCCCTTTTGAGATCCCTAGTACCAAGAGTATATAAAATTACCCCCTACAAGACCCTAAATTCTAAAACCCACACAAAATGTCACCTTAACAGTCACGAAGAAAACAAAACCGAAGAGTAACCTAAGACATTGATTAAAGTTTAAATAATAAATTAAATAACCATGGCCCTTTTTTACTTTTATCTTTTGAGTTCTTAATTGTTAATGTTTTTAAAAATATTTCTTAAGTGAGGGTTATTCACTCTTTTAAGTTGTGTTTGGGACATGGGATTAAAAGTAGGATTGGACATTTTTTTTTTTTTTTTTCTGAAAAGTCGTCCAATCCCAATGTTTGGTTTTGTTTCAAGGAGAATGGGATTGATTATTCATAATCCCATTCCCCGTTCCAGTTCCAATTTATTGGGGATAAAGTATTTTAAACCCTACATAGTTTGGCACAATCTAATAAACACCCTGTAGTACCTGTAATAACTCTCAATCTCTCTATAGCATTGCTAATTACTCTCAATCCCCTATTGTTAGTATCTTTTAGCTACTTTTAATGGTGGAAAGAATAAATGACTTAAATACCCTCACCTGTTATTATGCCCATCAATCCCAACTGGCCTCTTATCTCTAGCAACCCCTAACCTCTGTTTTAAAAACCGAACCAAACCGGCCAATCAGACTGGGACCCGATAGCTTTTTCGGTCCAGTTCAGGTCTTAGGGGTCTTTGTAATATTTTAAAATTATAAGGGTTAATTTGTAATTTTGTAGGGGTGTTTTGATATATGTCAAAAGTTTAGGGATTAATTAATTATTTTTTAGGGGTATTTTTGAAATAAATAAAAATTTTAGGGACTAATAAGCTTTTTAGGGGAATTTTTTGTAATATATTAAAATTTAAGGGATTAATAATAATTTTTAAAAATAAAATTGTCGCTGACATCATCGGTCCAACCGGCTGGTCCAACCGGTTGGACCGGTTGACCCGTGACCTGGGCAGCAAAACAGGTTGTCCTCCGGTCCGGGTTTTAAAACAATGCCCCTAACACCCATATTAGGCTTAAAAAATTATTAAATTCTGTAAAATATTACAAATTTTTATAAGAAAAATAGAAAAGAAATAATTACCCAAAAAAATAGAAAAGGAACTAATAAATAAAAAATCTGAAAAAATAAAATATATATATTTCTAAAAAAATGGAAAAAGAATCTGAAAAAATGGAAAAAAAAATTATTCTGACAATGAATCTTATGAAACAGCATGGAATTCCTTGTCCCAAGACCCAAGTTAGGACAATTTTTATATAAATATTATATATTAATTAAAAAATAATATTTTAAAAATTTTGCTATAGAAATATAAATAATTTACATATTAAAACTATTAATATTCATATTTTAAGGGTTATTAAATATAATCTCCATTAGGTAAAATCAAATAACAAATATCCTCTTTTTTTTTTTTTTCTTTTAAGATTATCTTATCTAGAGAAAATTCAAAAACATCAATCGAAGTACAAACCAAAAACGAAGGAAACCCCTCTCATATCTAGGAAAACCCGTAGGAGGCTAAACCCTCAGTATCTTTTACAATAAAACTTCTAATGTTTATAGGGTGTATATGCAACCAAATAAGATTGCTATTAAAAACCAAGATTTGCCAAGGCATAACAAATATCCCTTTGTATTTATAAATATAACAAAAATCCCCTTATTGTTAATTTTATTGGTGTTAAAATAAACGATGGAGGAGTAATTAGGTAAATAATTAGGCCAATCCCATACTATACCAATCTTATCCCAATTCAATCTAATTGCTTGTTCAATCTCATCCAATCCAATCCTATTTGCAAACCCACCTTAAAGTTTGTTACGACACTTCTTTTTGGGTCATAAAACTTAGTCTCTTTCTGTGTGTCTGTTTGAAATAATTGACATTTAAATGAATAATGATAATATCTTTCAAGGCATTAGTGTTTACGAGTGTATTAAGAATTTATTGTTCGGTGGGCTAAAATTGTTTTTGTACATAGCTTGGGTTACTTTTCAAATGTCGCATGTGGTCACATAACATCAGTCATAGGCCGTCTTGTTAGTTGTTTGCAACAAAGACCCTTTATGGATATAGTATGATAGTGTTGTTTAAATACTATTATTATGAACACATCAGATAAAACTCCTCCTACAAAACCACCATTGGGTAGCCTAGCGGTCAACTAGGACTCTTGGGTATATTACTCAAAAGGTCTTAAGTTTGATCTACCTGTGTTGCTAATAGGAGTGACAACTGAAGGGATTTACCCGACTGTCAACTTCAGGGTCTAGGGGGATTAGTTGGGGTGTACGCAAACTGGTGCGGACACCCCCGACCACAAAAAAAAAAAAAAAAACTGCTCCTAAATGATTAGCTTATATACTTTAGTAATTCCTTTCGTGGATAGTGTTGCTTTAATACTAATTATTAAGAACATGTTGATTAAAACTCATCCTGAAATTTGAAAACCGTTTTATGTACTTTAGTATTAGTATTGCTCAATAATCTTTTCTTCTGTGAATGCCTTTTTTTCAAATAGACATGAACTCTCTTGTAGACAAATTAGAATGTGTTTGGTATTGTTCTTAATTCTTAAAACCGATCGATTAAGTTTCGTGGATGCAAAAAATCTACTGTTAAGGAAATAGGATCTAATCCCATGAGATTGAGACCACTGACAATCCGTTGGACCTGCACACATGAAAAGACAAGCGTGAGGGTTACGGGAAATACTGGGGTGGTGTTTGCCGTAGGCACTCCGACACTCAAGTCGGCAAGGTTGAAAGAGACAATTTAATAAGAATTAAGGGAAAGAAGGATTACTGGGAGTTTTGTTGGAGACCAGGATTACGGCGAAGGTATCAGGTTCTCGGGAGCAAGAACTTATGAGCAAGTATGTGGTTTTGAGTAGTGGAGATTGAATATTAGATCATGGATCCCTTATGAGAGGGCAAGCCTCTGTTTATATAGTAGTCATAGGATCTTTAAATCCTAGTAGGACTCCGAGTCCATAATAATAGAAGTTTAATGAATAGGAAAGTCTTTGATTTATTTGTCTTTGGAATGGTAAGAGTTCTAATTCATATAAGATTCAAGATCTTAGATGAACTAGGATATAGATGGATCTCCTAGGAGAATTAGGATACTGGTGAAATAGGAATTGGATGTCTTAAGGTTTGAATAAAACACTAGACCCTTAATAGATAATATGGACTAATGGGCCTATCCAGGGTTGGGCCATGATCTTGGGCCATGTTATAGATGTTATGCGCTTGGGCCTGATAAGCCCAAGACAATTTTTGCCCATGCAAGTTTTAAGTGTCATAATCATTTTTATAAATTTGAGAGTTTTGAGAGAAAGCAGAAAGAAAAATACAGAGAGAAAAACGAAGAAAAGGTTCTGAAAAATTCGTGTTTTACTTGACTTTGTTTGTACAGTAAATGCACTTTTTATAGTGCTCATAATAGTAGCTAACTAACTCAGGTTCAGTCTATAGGTTACTTAACTAATTTTTACTAACTCTTACTAACATCCTCCCTTAAACTAGACTACTCTGAACTACACTTAACATTTGTTAACATCCTTCTCTAAACAGAACAACTTTGGACTACACCAACTCTTGCTAATAAAATTGATTAAAAAAACTAGTATAATTAGTTTTTAAAATCAGATTATTTCTGAAGTTGATTTTATATGGTAAAATGACAAATGTACTTATACATAATTTCTCAAATTACAAAATTAACATAAATAAATATTAAATTTATCAAATAAATAATCTCATAATTTATTTCTAAATTTTTAAACCCAATTGAAATAGGAGTTGTTATTGGCACCACCACGGCTATCAACCGAAAAATTAACTCTTGAACTCTTGAGTTTAGGTCCGAATTTTAAGTCTGCATTTTAGGTTGTATCGAAGAATTTCTATGACCATTGTTTATTTGTTGATAGGGGGTATCTAATTGTACTCAAATTGAAGATAATGGAAAAGGAAAGGTTGACACAGAAGTAGCACCACCACCACCAACTAAAAGAAGAAGGACCTCTAAAGTTTGGGATGTGTTTGATAAGATCCAGAGGGAAGATGGGACAGAATGGGCCATCTGTAAACATTGCAAAAAGCAGTATCTAGGATCAAGCAAGACAGCAGGAACCTCAAACCTATTAAAACATATGGAAAAATGTCCAGGTACAAGAGATGGTGATGGAGGTAAACCACGTGATGAAACCAGGAAAAAAAGGAGCTACAAGAGCATAGTCAGAAGTAATCCATTGAGTGCGGTTGAGAAGGATTCCTCAGAAAATTTTGGATCCTATAGCAGTTTAAAGGCCAACATACGTGACACTTATTGGAAAGAGAAGGAAAAACTCGCAAGTTTCATTAACAACCGGTCATCAGGTCGTTCCAATTTAACAATTAATTGGTGGAGACGCACTGATGGTATAATTAATTGTTGTTTGACCAAGAACTTCATAGACGATGGTTGGGAACTAAAGAACAAGGTTCTTTCTTTCAGAAGTGTGAGATTCTCCGACAGTTCCGGGGGACTTTTAGGAACTTTCAAAAGCATGCTATTGGAATGGAAGAATCTTGACAAAAATGTGTTCAGTATAACCGCACAATGTACTGAGGAGGCTTATCAGGCAGCCAGCGAGATTAAAGGGTGGCTTCTTCATCAACATTCACTTCCTTTAAGTGGAACATTGTCACATATTAGTTGCTTGGTACATATTCTCAATCTTCTTCTTGAGGATGGATCTCAGGAAGTAAAAGATGCACTTTGCAATGCAATGAAGTGCATTTCTTACGTCCATGATAAACCAGAACGTTATGAAAAATTCCGAATGGCAGTACATCTAGCGAGGGCGCAAGGTAGCATTGTGAGTTATGAAGATATGCCTACGAGTGAGACATTAATTAGCTTCCAAAAATTTGAGGGCATTTTCAGGTTAAGAGAAGCTTTTAATATGTTAAAGATGATCGATCTGGATTTTGGCAGCTTAAATCCAGTAGATGAGGAATGGGACAAGGCTACCTACATTTACCAGCAAGTAAAAGTGTTAGATGAAGCTGTTAAGAGGCTTTCAGGTAAACAATCATGCCTTACCACAAACGTTTATTTTCCTGAGGTTTGCAACATACACAGGAGCCTGTGTAAATGGGTCAAAGGTGACAATTTAAATGTTTACTTGATGGCTTGTAAGATGAAGAAAAAATTTGACACATATTGTGAAAATTGTGGTTTGGTTTCAGCAATCGCTGTAGTTCTTGACCCACGGTTCAAATTTGATATTGTGGAGCGCTGGTTTAAGGAAATATTTGGCCATGATGCTGACGAGTACTATGCAAGAATGGGCAGAATAGACTACACTCTTAAGCAAGTTCACAACGAATATTCAGAAGGCTTCAACAATTCATCGGATCATTTTGACATGCTAGATCCCCTGGGAATGCCATCCACTTCTTCAAAAGATGATAAAAATGGAAAATCCGAAAAATCAGAACTTGAACGATATTTAGAAGAGCCCAATTTTCCTTCAGTTAAAGATTTTGACATACTGACTTGGTGGCGTGTCAATACACCAAAATTTCCAACACTAGCAAAGATGGCTCGTGATTTCTTGGCAATACCCATATCAACTGCTCAGTCAAATCCCTCATTCAATGATAGTGTTATGAAGATTGATCCAACCGCCATTGACGTAGATCCTAAGACCGCGGAAGCTTTTGTCTGTGTAAGGGATTGGAAGCAAAAGGCTGAAAAGTAGTAAGAATTTTTAAACGTACAATTTTTTTTTTTTTTTTTTTTTTTTTAAATTTCCTTCTTGTATTCTAGATTTTATCAACCATTTTTAACATGATACTTGTCTTCTTTTCACAGGGGCTGATATTGCATCACCTTTCATCTACTTCCGTTAGCAGAAAAAAAAAAAGAGAAAAATAAGAGGGTTCTGTTCTTCAGTTACGCAAAGAAGAATTGGAGATTGCTTTACTGATTATATTCTAGACTATTTCATGCATGTACACTTTTACTTCATTGTATATATGCCTTTGCTTTCATGTTCAGAGTTGTGTTCAAGTTACTCCAGTGTAATTAATGTATGTTTTATATTACGATTATTTTTCTTGTATAGTCGTATCACTAATTTTAATCTAAAAAAGTTTAGGTTCTGACTTTTGAGTATTTCTCTAACCAGGATGTACGCTAAATTTTTATTATACAGATTTTAAATCTGAAAAATTAGATCTTTTAAACGGTTGAGATTTTCTTAAATTATATATATATACACACTATTATACTAACATCAGAGTTTACAGGATTTAACCTTTTCTAACCGTATCGGTTGTACTTTCTCTCTCCCATGTACTGTTCTCGTTATTCTCACGTAAAATTTTAAATTTTGTTTATCTTTTTTATTGTGCGTCTTTTAAATTTGAATAAATCTAAACCACAGGCTAAAATTTAAAGCCCTGATAAGAAAAAATATTTTTGTTTGAAAAGCAGAAATAATTATAAAAATCATGTGTGTTAATCTGATTGGACTAAAAAAAAGAACAAAAATAGCCAAAATGCTGTAACTACTAGGTCTAGCTAAGTCTAACATACTTTAATTAGATTATTAATTCATACTCTTAAATGTTAGACTATCCAGTCAAATGTGGTCTAACATAGTATACCCTTATATACTAGAAAAAAAATATCATTTGTTATTTCTTAAAGGGTATAATTGGTAATCACTTGATTTTATAGTTAGATTTTTACTTTAAGTAAAACCTTCATATTTTGGGAAATTAAGATTATTGACTTGACTATATATATATCTTGATTCTAAGGTGGTGCTTGTGAATAACACTTACTATTAAATAACTCTGAATAAATAAAATAAAATGATATTTCTGTGATATATTTGTTTGTAATTTTTAAATATATGATTATAAGAGTTTGTTTTTACAAATTATAAATATATGAAAATTAACTAGTAATTTTACATAAATATCCTCATATATCTATAACTTGTAGTGAAAATCATCGATCAGAAAATATCTGAACTCTACCAGAGCTAAGAAAACTCCATTTGAGTTCTAATGAATTTCATGGAGTAGTTGGAGAACCTGTGGTTGGGTTTGAGGACTTTCACAATATTACGTAATTGATCTAGATTGTCAATCATCATTGTTGATGTTCTTATGAGGAAGTGAAATAAGCTGAAATTTGGTTTTTATTTGTTCTCGTAATAGCCTTTCTCTTTATTTTCTGTTGGTTTTTTGAATGGTTTCTTATGTTGTGAATGGGGAAGTTGCTATCTCTCCGTGCAGGAATTACCGTTGTTCTAGCAACCAGATTCATCAAATTTAGCAGATGTTTGATTTGTTGCCACAAATTTAGCATCAAAATGATCAAAAATAAAGAAACAGATTTAGTATTTATAATATCTAAATATATACAACAAGGTACTTCTCATCAAAATGTGAATGGCTCAAACTCATTGATGCATTGATTAGTGCACTAGTCGCAACAAGTAATAGAATGATGAGTAAAGTATCGCTCCCACGAGGATTGCATGCCAAGTACTAATTTCCCTAATTTGTATCAAGTTGGAGCAAACGAAAAATGGTTGGATTTGCGGGAGACAATTAAGCTGAAGTTAAAACAAAATGTACAATGTAATTTAAAATCTTATTAATGAGAGCAAAATCAATTCAAGAAAATATCAGTTAAGACAAGTAGGTTAGGGTTTTGACTTCACTAGGATTTTATGATTTAATCAACGATTTCTGTTGCTTCTAAGTTCACGTGCAAGGATTATAAATCGGACACCCTAACCTGTAAAACATACCTTCTTCGGCTATGTTTTCCTACTTATCCCTATTAAACTTCCCGACCCAACAAAATGAAGGTTAATAGTTCCAAGTCTGTTAAGCTAAGTGGAGTCCTAAATTGATTTAATGGATCTTTGATCCTATCTCTGGTGTTCAATCAATCAAATGGTATTTACTCTAAGAGATTAATACATGATTCACTTCTCAGTCTCATCATGCACAACAATTAATTTCAATTGGAACAAGAATAAATACATAATCCAAGCAATAGAATATGAAAGCAACATCAATTTATTGCTTAAACATTAAAATACCAATTACATCAAAACCCTAACCCAAAAGTGAGTTAGTTCATCCTAAAGTTAAAGCAAATCAAAATAAAAGCTGTAAAAACAGAGTTCAACATGCTGGAATAATGAAAAGAGAATAAATTCTTCCCTATTTGATGAACCCAAAGGCTTCCAATCTTCAATTTCTCTCCTTTTGCTCCAAACAGTGTCAAACCCCTTACAAAATAACTAAGTTTCTCTCAAATAGTCGACCCTTAAACCCTCAAACTAATCCCATACAATTAAAACGCACAGTTTTAATAAATTAAAAATTGCAGTTTCACCGTAGCATCAAGTTGGATTTTATTTCACTATCTGACCCGAGACTTTCTTGTCGCAATGAAGAATAAACTTCGTTGCGGCGAACTTTTCTGAAATTACGAAACTGCCCTCTGCTTGCTTCTTTGCTTGAATCTTCAATCTTAGTCTCCAATAAGAACAAGCTTTATAGTGCTTTGAATATGCATAAGAACTTTCTCGATTCCTGAAATTCGCTTGATTTTGGGTCTAGAAACTCAATTCCGCTCAGTGTTTGCTCCAACTACACGTTTTGGCCTGAAACGTAAAATATATGAAATTAAGTTGCAATTTAGGCACAAACTTAAAAAAGAAGTATCCAAAATCCAGCCAAAAAGTATAGATAAAACAGTATAATCCTAGGATTATCAAATACCCCCAAACTTAAGGCATGCTTGTCCTCGAGCATTAGGTACAAAATTGGACTAAAGAAGAACAACTAACAAACAAAAAAAGACAACAAAATTGAAAATGAAAAGGGAGAATTTAGAATCAAAATGAAACACAAAGAAATGCGTAGAATTGATGCAAGTCTCAAAAATTGTTGAAACATTATCACGAGAAAATGCTTAACACTCCAAGAAGTTATAAGTTGATTAACTATCTTTCTCTATCGGCCTCCTAAGTAGGTAATCCCCACTTTAGTCCACCTTCCGACTCCCCGAATTATTTTATGTAGAAATGCAAAGTTTATCAAATGGTGGTAGACTCCATAAGCCTACGCATCGAACTACTCTCCACTAATGTGGACTAGACATCATTAAGGATCAAAAGATCTTTGCAAGCTTGTAACGTTGTGCTCGGTTAATGGGCTCTAAGGAAAAGGGTAAGATAAACAAAGTAAGAGAACTCGGTTTTCTTCATGTAAACACTAAGAACTACATCAATCTCCGCTTTCTTTCTCAACCACCAATCAAGGTGTCAACCATTTTATAACCCTCAAACGTATGCATTTCTTAATTTTGATTCTGAATTGAAATTCTCAAATTTCTATTTTTTTTTTTTTTTTTAAAGCAACAACATCAATTTATTAAGGTCAACCCCTTCTTCCTGCCCTCTTTACGATCCCTAAACTTAAGATTTTGATTCGTCAAATTCTCACACAACTCTCCAAGCTCTTTTGTGGCATACATTAGGTCCATAATTCTCTTAAAGGGTACGAAATGTGTTTAGGGTGAGAGGTTTGGGCATTTTTGGTTGCACAAGAAGAATAGGACAGTGATAATCTCATAAGGCTCAAATAGGTGACTAGGGAAAAATTTATTCATGGTCGGCTAGAAAGGCTCAAATGTTCTGAAAAATTGCCGAAATCATTTCCTCAATAATGTCTATTCCTAGAATTTCGCCTCAAACACTTCTCAACTAGGTTCTAGAGTCCACCAACATTATGAAGACTTCACCTAACCACATAAAATATTTCTAAGCATGCCAAAATAATGAAAATGGTGGTTGAACCACTCAGCAAACCTCTAGAATAGAAAAGTTAATCAGCCAACCTAAACTTGAAGCTATGCTTAACATTTTCCATAAATAAAATCTCAACAATCCTATTCTCATCACAGACTTATGCAATTCATCATTAGCAACAACAACACACACACACACACACAAAAAAATTCAAAAAAAAAAAAAAAAAAAAACCTAAACACAACATTTTTCAAATTTTCCTACCCCCAAACAAAAAATGACATTGTCCCTAATGTCACATCATACACATCTCAGGAATAGAAAAACAGAATTAAAAGGTACGAGATACTCCCCTAATTAATTTGTGAAGGCTGATTTTCTTTAACACCCTAACATTTGTTCCTTGGTTTCCTCCTCAACATCATCTGCAAAGCAACTGAAAATCTATGGTGCCCAATGTGTTAGATATCTTCACTGATTAATACGAAAAAATTACAACATGATCTCAAACTTATCAAACTAAACCAAAAAATTCAAACAACAACAATTAACAATCTAACAAAGGAAAATCGATTCCAATTTACAAGACAAAGAGAAATGAAATCAGAAAATACAAAAACAAGTGTTTCAGGCTTCATTCGTCGTCTTCCTTTTCTTCTTAGACATCATCATCTTCTTCCATGGCATCATCTTCTTCCTCCTCTCGTCAATCTTGCCATTGGAAGTTTGATACATCAATGCCTAGATTGGTGCAGCAGTTGTATTGCATCTTGTACAGTGTTCGAGTCTGACTTGCCATCCAATCTTGACGTTGTTCCATTCTGTTCACTTTTTCCAAGATTTGTTGCAACAGCTCCCTTGTCGTGGATGTTGAACTAGGTGTTCTGGTAGTTGTTGTGGTTCTTGGTCTTTTCGAGCCGGAGCTGGTTCCTTCACTGGTAGGACGCCTTAGGAGCTTGTAATAATAGTTTTGATTGAGGCTTGGGGCAGGATGAAGAAGTGGTTCATCATCTGCCTTCTTTACTCCTGCTCGAGTGCAAATCTTAGTGATGAGATGTTGGAAGGCGAAGCTCCCTCTCCCTAGTTTAGCTGCATGCCTTATACTCTCCATTATGATATTCCCCACATCCATTTTCTTTTCAGTGGCAATGGCATAAAGTAAAACTGCTCTGCTCGCTCAGAAACCACTGAATAGTAGTGCGTTTCTGAAACCATCCTTGCACCGACAA